GTTTTGGAAAGTTATGAAATTTTTTGGGAAAAAAAATTGAAATTCAATTCTAAATTGAACTCCAAAACTAGTTTTGAACCATTTTTGTTTAATCAACCAAGCCTAGTATATATGAAACCTGCATGGATTTCTTGTTTAGACCTGGGTGTTATCTCCTAGAAAACTCATCATGTAAATGCAATTATATAAAATCCAAAATCCAGAACACTGATAAGATAGCTAACTAACCTGTATAAAAACATCCAGTGAAGAAGAATCTGTTATAAGTTCTAGTTCGATTAGAGAACCACTTGATTCCTTTTTACATAGACTTTATATGATAAGCATTTTTGAATGAAAGTATCTTAGAAGCAGGGACCTTGATTTAAACAAATGCTGTTTATTTGCTAGATTGCTAATTTCACTTTTCTTGCATCTGGAGTTCAGTGCAACAAAGCACCACCAATACACTCTGAATTTAAATTTCTCTGGAAATAATCTGAAGATGTAAGTGGTCTGGCTTTGTTCTTTGAAGTTAACTACCCAGGACCCCTCTGTGTTAATCAGTAACCATTTTGTCCTTTATAATAATAATAGAAATAGGTCCTAGTTTGAAGTTGATTTAAGGTCCTAATCTGTTCCAATCCTGGTAAATATAACTTTCTGGGTTAATGTTGGTTAATCAAAGATATCTTGAGTGAAAACATAATGCATGAACACAAGGCTTGTATGGGTCTCAACTTATTAAGAAAAGTTAGAAATTCTGGTTTGAAAAAAATAAGTTGTAAGCACTCTGATAGAGATGCTTATCCATAAAACAGAACAGAATGCAAGAGAAGTGATGTAGAAATATTGCCTTGTGTTCAGTAGTTAAGTAGCACTCTTGCCTTCTTTAGGTCCAGAGGTTTTCTGAGGGGAAAAACACAGGGATCCTTTATGTTGGACTTGCTTTCTGCTGTTCAAAGAAAAGTACCATTCTGTGTACTACTTGGCATCCTTCATCCGAGACATGAAAGTAGTTCCCACCTCTAACAGATTTGTGGAGTATTGGGGAAGCTAGGACTCCAGCTCCTGGCATGGCCTGAGGATTTGTAGCCTCATCACACTAGAGAAAAAAACCCCACTTAAAATCCGGTTTCTGCTTCCCGTAAAATTCTGAGGTTTGTAGTTCAGGGAGGATACTTTAATAGCCTCACTAAACCACAAAGCTCAGAATTCTGCAGGAGGCAGAAACTGGATTTAAAGTGGATTCATTCTCTAGTGTGATAAGGTCCTTGGAAGTGTAGTCCACAAAAGGAATTTTTCCAGGTTGTGAGCTGGGCAAGGAGAGATAGGAAGATTACAAACCAAACACCTGTTCTCAATCTCTTAACCACTGTTAGGGCCCTTCCAGACAGGCCCTATATCCTAGGATCTGATCCCAAGTTTTCTGTTTATCCCAGATAATCTGGCAGTGGGGACATCAAGTTTAAATCAGAAAACCTTGGATCAGATCCTGGGATATAGGGCCTGTCCGGAAGGGCCCCTAATGGCTCATGAACATTTGCAACTACATTGGTCACTGTTTCATTTGGATAACGTGGGGGTTTGTTATTGTGGCCAAGCTGATAATGAAACGTGATTCAACTGTGTTAGATCATTTTTCTGCAGCTGTCTGTAGAAATCCCATTGCCTAGACTGGCAGTCTATAATGTAGCCTGCTTGTTACTTTGCTACTGGAGTCAAGTTAATTGATTTTGTGCTGTTTAAAAAAACAGTAGGAAAGATTTCTAATATTTTGTCAAAGGAAGGAAGGAAGGAAGGAAGGAAGGAAGGAAGGAAGGAAACAAGGAAGGAAGGAAGGAAGGAAGGAAGGAAGGAAGGAAGGAAGGAAGGAAGGAAGAAGGAAGGAAGGAAGGAAGGAAGGAAGGAAGGAAGGAAGGAAGGGAAGAAGGAAGAAAGGAAAGGGTGAAAAAAAGACCCCCATTCCCCCCCCCCCCTGCTCTACACAGTCTGTGAGAAATTCTGGCAGTCTATATTGTTGATGCAGCGATTTACTTATCTGGTATCAATAATTCATGAGATTGGTCTACTTGTTAATTGCTGGCCCAGGGCCCAGTCTTTCTGCACCCTCCAGAATGCATTTATAGGATGGCTTGCGGGGATGTAGTTCCATAGTAGTTTACACTTATTAGGTCTGAACACAATTGTGCTGAAGGGTACACATTTTTCCCTCTGTTTCAAGCCAGCAATTTCAGCAATTATCTTAGTAAAATTATAAAAAATGTAATTAATACAACTGGCAGTCTCTATCATGGCAATGCAGACTATAACAGGTTCTTGTGAAATCATAGGTGTCCCCTGTGGTGTACCTGAAATACTCAAAGGCTCATAGTTATAGGGGCAGGATTAATTAGACAGATCTTTTCCCCACAGTTCACTTATGAATGAATTGCAAATTCCAGCAGAAAAATTGATATAACTTGCTATGCGATGACCCCCACAGATATGCAGTTCCTCCAGTGACTTTGTAATTTACAATGGCTGCCAATAATACATTTCATCTTTACAGGCACTGTATACAATAGAATTCGAGGTGGAAGAATAATCACATGGTCTGGGGCAGCTCCTCCAAATAGAAGTATTGGATTACAATTCCCATTACCTGCAGCAAACAGGCCAGTGGTCATGCTTGAAGCACATGAAGTTTTAAGGTGCATAACTGTGGACCTTAAAACTGCATCATTTTAAAGAACTACATATTTAAATACAAATGTTAATGTCAGTTTATGTACTTAAAGAAGTACAGCTAATAGGATAATTAGATGGATTTTAAGTCATCTCAGCAGTCATTCCCCCTGGTGACGCAGCAGGTTAAACTGCTGAGCTGCTGAACTTGCTGACTGAAAGGTTTGTGGTTTGCATCCGGGAAGCAGGGTGAGCTCCCACTGCTAGCCCCAGCTTCTGCCAACTAGTGGTTTGAAAACATGCAAATGTGAGTAGATCAATAGGTACTGCTTCTGGGGGAGTAATGGTGCTCCATGTAGTCATGCTGGCCACATGACCTTGGAGGTGTCTACGAACAATGCCAGCTCTTTGGCTTAGAAATGGAGATGAGCACCACCCCCCATAGACTTAATGTCAGGGGAAATCTTTACATTTACTTGAAGTTGTTCCAGCAGTCACAAAGATAAGAAATAAACTGAACCACCTATCCCAAGGGATACTGACTATGCTCTTCTGCATAATCCATAGAATAACAACAGGAACAACAAAAGGTGGCCACAGACTAAGAATCCATAAGGTTTGCTTTTATGCCATCCTTCTCCATCAAGTCCCTTGTTCATTCTTGAGAATTTGAAGTTGCTCTAAAAATTTCCTCAATAATGATTTTTAATTGTCTGTAGACACCTCCAAGGTCATGTGATCAGCATGACTGCATGGAGCGCCGTTACCTTCCAGCAGAAGCAGGACCTATTGTTCTACTCACATTTGCATGTTTTCGAAGAAAACTGGCCTAGCAGCGGGAGCTCACCCTGCTCCCTGGATTTGAACCGCCAGTCAGCAAGTTCAGCAGCTCAGTGGTTTAACAACACTCTTACCTTTTATTTTGACACTGCACTGATGTCCCTACAAGGTGTATGTTACATTTAGATCTATACAAAGATGGAGGGAACTAAGTTGTTTCTCCCCAAACTAGCGCTTGTAAATCCTCCATGCTACAAATTAGCCACTGAGCTGCTATTTGTGTGTGTGTGTGTGTGTGTGTGTGTGTGTGTTTGCAACAGAATTTAGGCTGATCACCTTCCCAAAAATACTCAATCTGTGTGTAGATAAGACATCTTATTTCTGCATACACATATATAGCAGGATGGAAATGGTGTTTTCAAAATATGTTTAAGTGACAACTCTCACCATGCAGTTGTGACCAATAGAGCAGTTGTAACCTAAGTATACCTGAAGAGGTGCAGCCACCCATTTGTGATATATGAATTATATTCTCATTGAGTTTCATGATGGGAGTAAAGATTTAAACCACAGTCCTAATTTCTTCTCAGTTACTGGATTATACAGTAGAACTTCTGCATAAAAATGTCTCAACATAAGTATGCTTTTAACTTACAAATCCTGACTCGGCCTAGAATGATGTTTTGACATAAGAGCACCGTTTTGACCTACGAGCAGTGCAAAAGAGGCCTCTTTGCCCCCTAAACCAGTTCTAACAGCAAGGCAGAGAGAAACAAAGCTAGAACTGGATTCCTCGCCAGAGCAACTCTGGCTTTTCCTGCAAGGCAGAAACTCTAGTCCCATGTGATTTCTTCCTCCGAATGTTCTGTGAGGTGTCCATTCCAGAGATTCCACTTCAGAGATTACATTCCACCCTGGTTCAGCAGAGCTTCAGCCTAAACAGGAGTACTGTGTGTTTGGCTTCAAGAAGAGAGAGAGCAAGAGAGGGAAGGAGGCTGGAATTATAGTATGAAGGAAATGATGTTATTTTGCCATGCTTTATGCTGGCCAACACACATTTTGTTGCCTCAAATGTGCTTCCTTGCCACAGTGGCTGAATGGAAACAGCCACTGTTTCCATCCAGTGCTGATCTCTGAACATTTTATACATGATTTGATATTTATACGCTATATTTTCTTATTTAAAAATACATAACAATGAAAATTGGGGTGGTTTTTGGGGGGGGGTCAGAACGGATTAATAGCATTTAAATGCGAAATATTGATTTGAGATAAGATTGTTTTGACTTAAGAAAACGGTCACAGAACAAATTAAATTCTTAAGTCAAGGTATCACTGTATACAGAATCTTCATCTTGAAAGGCAGAACCTCAGTTAGGAAGTGCAGGGACAGAGAAAGTGACTATCAACTTCATAGTTCGGACCTCACACAGATATCTAGATAGCCACTTTTACGAACTGGAAACTGAACCAGTTAAATCTTGGTTTCTTCTGGAATAATGTTATATTTAATCCACATCTTTCTTGTTGCCTGGGAATTATTATGATGTTGTTTTCTCTCTCCTTCTTCACAGGGCATGGAAAAGATGCTTCATTGTCTCCTCATATTTCTCATTGGAATGAGGCACGCATGTAGAGAGATACTCGCCATTCCTTTATGTTCAGTGGAAAACAAGACTGCTTACTATGATTTTTGCAACCTCACTCAAGTTCCACCTGTACCTGAAGACATTGTTTTATTCTCCCTAAACTACAATTCTATTCGGGAAGTGAAATCCAGTTCATTTCCTCTGCTGAAAGAACTGAGAAATTTGGCAATTGGGACACAGTCGATTTATCCCGTAACCATAAGAAGAGAAGCTTTTAGAAACTTGCCAAACCTTCAAAAATTGGATTTAGCTGGCAACAAAATGACTGTACTAGACACAGGTGCCTTCCTGGGCCTCGTGAATTTACGTGAACTTTTTTTATATTATAATGATCTTAATGAATCAATTCTGGAAGGGGATTACTTTCGAGATTTGATCTCTTTGGAATACCTGGATCTTCAGTACAATAAGATTACGAGGCTTCGTCCTCACCCATTATTTTACAACATGAGATCCTTGGGCACTTTGAAGTTGAAATTAAACCAGATTAAGACTGTCTGTGAAGGAGATCTCTATAGCTTTCAAGGGAAAACTTTTGAACTCTTGAGTCTTAATTCTAATCAGTTGTATAAAGACTTTGTGAACTGGACAATTTGTGGGAACCCTTTTAAAAATATTGTTATAAAAACATTGGATGTTGGTAGCAATGGTTGGGACGTGGCCACAACACAGCAATTTTGTGCAGCTGTTCAAGGAACTCCTCTTTTAGCGTTGGAGCTCTCACACCACATTATGGGCTCATCATTTGGATTTGACAATCTCCGGAATCCAGACAATGATACATTTGTAGGTCTTGCTAAAAGTGGCCTCAGATTGCTTGATCTTTCACATGGCAGTATTTTTCCTCTTAGCCCGTATGTATTTCAGAGTCTTGGTGATTTGTTATGGCTTGATCTTAACACTAATAAGATAAATCAAATTAGGAAAGAAGCATTTTCTGGCCTTGTGAGCTTACAGCTTCTAAACCTATCATACAATCTTTTGGGTGAAATCCTTGATTACACTTTTGTAGGACTTCACAATGTGATTTCTATAGATCTACAACATAATCACATTGGGGTGTTTGGTGGGAACCCCTTCAAATACTTACCAAATCTTCAGGAGATAAATCTTAGGGACAATGCTTTAAAAACAATTCCATCGTTCTCAAGTCTTCTCTCTGTTTTTTTGGGTGGCAACAACCGAATACAATCAAGTTATAATGAAGCAGTAAATTCAGCTGTAGTTGATTTGGAAGGAAACAGGCTGGATGATTTGGGCTACGTCTACAAACTTCTCCAAATACCTGTTTTGAAGTATATCTTCCTGAAAAACAATCGTTTCAGTCATTGCCAAAAACAGAACAATGTACCAGAAAACAACCAGCTAATCTATTTGGATCTTGGTGAAAATATGTTAAAACTTATATGGGAGAGAAGTGAGTGCTTGGATATATTCAAGGAACTTTCCAAACTTCAGGTTCTCCACCTCAATAATAATTACCTTAATTTCCTTCCAGAGGGTATCTTTAGTGGCCTGGTATCACTGAATAAGCTTAACTTGGATTCAAACTTGTTGACTTACATTTCTCACAGTGCCTTCCCTAAGAGTCTGCGGACACTTCATTTATCATCAAACCAACTTCTTTACCCAGATCCTCAGATTTTTGCAAGCCTAGACTATTTGGATATCACCTATAACAAATTCTATTGTGATTGCCTTTTAAGCGACTTGGTTATATGGCTAAATGAAACCAATGTCACTTTAGCTGGATCACCAAATGACATGTTTTGTTTTGGACCCCCTGAATTTGCTAGTGTTCCACTTTATCAATTACTTGTTGGTGGCTGTGATGAAGACAAGATCTTGGAGTCTCTACAGTTGTCACTCTTCATTTCGACTTGTGTTGTTCTGACAATGTTCCTAGCAGCCGTGGTAGTTTTCACTCGTTTTAGGGGAACTTGTTTTGTCTGGTACAAGACTATTGCAAGAACATTCATGAAGGAACTCCCGTCTGACTTTGATAAGAAAAAGTATAAATATGATGCCTATATATGCTATAGCAGCAAGGACTTTGAGTGGGTTCAGAATTCGTTGATAAAGCACCTTGATATCCAATATTCTGACAAAAACAGATTTGCTCTTTGCTTTGAAGACAGAGATTTCCTGCCAGGAGAGGATCACATCAGCAACATCCGTGATGCCATCTGGAACTGTCGGAAAACAATTTGTGTTGTGACAAAGCATTTTCTCAAGGATGGCTGGTGTGTAGAAGCATTTAATTTTGCTCAAAGTAGATATTTTTGTGACCTCAAGGATGTCCTCATTATGGTGGTAGCTGGATCACTTTCACAGTATCAGCTTATGAAATATCAGCCAGTCAGAGCCTTTCTGCAAAGGGATCGATACTTAAGATGGCCCGAAGAGGACCAAGATGTGAAGTGGTTTCTAAATGCACTTTCTCATCAGATACTAAAGGAAAAGGGAATCCAGAAAAAAGTTCAGAAAAAGAATGTTCAGAAAAAAACAGGTGCTTTGGAATTGAAAGTAGTCACAATCTCTTAGCTGACTGGCTCCCATTTCAGTTCATGAAGATAGTCCTCCAAAGAAAGTATTACTTAATTCTTAAAATACGCTGAGCCCTGCTCATGCTATATTAGCATGGCAATTGATGTAGGAATACCCCAGTGATCTTGATGTCATTTGTCTTCACTGCCAAATGTAAGATTATGAATTTAGATCTTTCATGAATGGAAGTGGCTTTTCAGATATCACTGTGCTGATCTAAAGGGCTCTTGAATAATGAAGTCTGGTGACCTGAAAAGGCTTTCATATTTTTTATAGTCACAGCTGTGTACACTCTTGCTGGTTTAAGGTAGGGGCAGGTAATGTGTGACCCTCTAGATCAGTGGTTCTCAACCTGTGGGTCCCCAGAAGTTTTGGCCTTCAACTCCCAGAAATCCTAACAACTGGTAAACAGGCTGGGATTTCTGTAAGTTGTAGGCCAACTCACAGGTTGAGAACCACTTCTCTAGATGTTGTTGAACTAGAGCTCCCATCAACCCTTGAGAGCAGAGCCAGTGGCAAGAGATGATGAGAATTGAAGTCCAGAAGTCTCTAAATGATTATGAATTGCTCAACTCTGGTTAAACAATTTTAATAATGAGTTACTTAATCAAAAAGAAAATGCAATTACTTTTTCTCTAGACTGGTAGTCTTATTGACATGCTGTAGCCCTGAGGTGAAACATGCGATAAATAAATATTTCAACTGGCCCCTTCACTTAAGTCACCAAGGTTTTCTCTGTCTAAGAAACTAGAGCTGAGGCCTATCCAATGCAATTTTCTGAGTTAGTGTCCCAAATAACTCCAGGAACAAGCCTAACAACCAAGACACCAAGGGGTTTTTTTTTTGTTTTTGTTTTTTTGCTGGGCTATGTATTTGCTGAAATATTTATAGGAATCTTCCCTACAGATGTTCTAATGATGAGTTCTCTATAAATTGGGGAGGTGAGAGGTCTTCTATCATCACTATCACATTCATTTTCAAAAGAAAAATGTTACCCCAGTGATAGCTGGTATGATGTGACCAAGTCCAGTATTTCTTTCTTTGCCTAGCACATAATGTTCAGTCAGTTGAAGCATAGTCATGAATTCCCTGCTTATCACAACAGCTGTTTTGGACTTCAACTCCCACAATTCCTAACAGCCTACTGGCAGTTATTGCGGCAGTTGAAGTCAGCTGGAAGGCTGATGTTTGCCCATGCCTGCATTATATCAATTGCAACTTTGTAATTCAAGAACATGTGTTGATGTTCCATGGATTCAATGTGTATAGTGTAGTTAGGATTAATACCTAGATTTATAGAATGTTTCTGCAGTACACATGCAGCAGCAGTTTGGTTGCATTGGCTGCATCCTCTGGAATCCTGGGATTTTTAGTTTGGTGATTGACTTACAATTCTTCATTAGAAAGCTCAGGTTCTATAGTGTACAATAGTGTCCTGGAGCTTTCTAGTCAAGAATTCTAGGTAGCTCACCCAGACCACATATTTCAGAATTTTCTGGGTTGGAGCCATGACAATTAAAGTGGTTAGGGCTCCAACCTAGCAAACTGGCTGTAACTGCATAGCGTATTACTTGAGGTGGATACATAACACCAGTGCCTATTTGATCGCTTCCAAGTCTGCAGAATTGTACATGAAGGTAATATCTAATTAATGTCATTTGTATTCAGGGCACCAGATACATGTATCTAAATGAGTGTCCATAGTTTGTATTAAGTTTTTACGACAGAACTCTCCCGTTTAATGTGACAATAAAAATATGTTATTGCAAATGAATATGTTTAAGGGGTTCTAGAGTTGCTTGTATAGTTCTGCACGATGCATGAATGTTTATTACTATCTCAAAGAAAATTGAATTTCAAAGTATCTGTCATCAGCCTTGTTTTTTAACAATTACATATATGACTAAGAGTGTCACCTAGGTAATAAGGAGATCAAACACATATGGAGGGCTATGGTTACTCATTCCTGTTGTAGACTGCTGTGTGAGTGCAGTGCTAGACCAGATAGACCACCCAACATGGTCTTAATAGTGTTAATATGACTTCTCCATCTTATGTACCTTTCATAGAAAGTAAGTGGTTTGGTATCTAGTACAAAAACACAGTATGGTGTGTTTCTGTGGTAGATATCAAACTGTTGAATTTCACACATAGCGAACAGAGAAATGCAGGCAGTGACAAGATATGTAGATAAATAATTATTTATTGGACTTTAATTAGAGCTGTAAGGATTTTAGTAATTTCTAAATGGTCTTCTCTTGCTATTTTTGCTTTTAAAATATGTATATAGCTGCAGGAAATTACAGGAAAAGGAAAAACAACAGGATTTTTACAAAAATGAAAAGAAATTATTAACTAAAATGTTGAATTATTTAGAATGTCAACCTTTTTATTGCAATACTTACTAATAGGGATTCTGTGTTTTATATTCCCTTTGTTTAAATGTGGCTTCACTTTTATTTATATTTTATAATTAGATAAATATTACAATTGTTTCTGAATGTTTACTAATGTGAAAGACAAGATTTTCCCTGGGGGCTACATTTTGATAACCTAAGAATTTCAGGTATTTTTTCTTGTCAGGAGTGACTTGAGAAACTGCAAGTTGTTTCAGCCGTGAGAGAATTGGCCGTCTGCAAGGACGTTGCCCAGGGGATGCCCGGATGTTTTGATGTTTTACCATCCTTGTGGGAGGCTTCTTTCATGTCCCTGCATAGGGAGCCGGAGCTGACAGAGGGAGTTCATCTTCGCTCTTCCCAGATTTGAACCTGCGACCTGTCGGTCTTCAGTCCTGCCAGCACAAGGGTTTAACCCATTGCACCACCAGAGGCTCCAAATAATTTTGGTTTTAGGGCTTGATGTTAGTGTTTTAACCCCTCAAAAATCAAAATACTAAAACTGATTTTATTTTATAGACTGTAATAAAGGTATAAATCCATTAATAAGGTAACATATAGATAGATGTGCATATTTCATAATATGTACCCAATAAAGCAATAAGTGATAGATTTGGAAACTGGATTATTTCTGATGTAACAGAATAGTTTAATATTAACTAGACTTACAACTGGTTGATTTTTGAAAAAAAGTAGTAAGTGACATTATAATTATTATCCTCTAGGTGGTGCTATGGGATCTCAAAAGCGCTTGTGATTTCCAAAGAATGACCTTGTGCAGATCATGCTCCCCAATTGTTGATTGCAAAGAGATTGTGAAGAGTCAAAGGACAGACTTTTGTGGGCCTCTCCAAAGCAGTCCCATTATCCCCAGAATATAATGACACCTCCAAGAGCAAGATAAAAGTCAACAGCAAGTCCAGGTTGAGTCTCCCTTACTCAGAATTCCAAAATCCAATGAACTCCAAAATTGTCCATGTGGATGGCTAAGACAGTGACACCTTTGCTTTCTGATCTTTCAGTATACATAAATATTATTTTCATGCATGCATTTTTTTTTAAAAAAACTTGTGCATAGCATTACTTTCAGGCAATGTATATCAGATGCACAAGACACACAAATGAATTTCTTTTTTATACTTGCGTCACATCTCCAAAATACTACATTATGCATGTGCAAGTATTAGGTAAAGGTTTTCCCCTGACATTAAGTCCAGTCATGTCGAACTCTGGGGGGTTGGTGGTCATCTCCATTTCTAAGCTGAAGAGCCAGCGTTGTCCATAGACATCTCCAAGGTCATGTGGCTGGAATGACTGCATGGAACGCTGTTACCTTCCCGCCAGAGTGGTACCTATTGATCTATTCACATTTGCACGTTTTTGAACTTCTAGTTTAGTAGAAGCTGGGGCTAACAGCAGGAGCTCTTGCTGCTCCCTGGATTCCAAAATTTAGGGGGGGGGGGAATCCAAAATAAGGAACAGTTCTGATCCCAAGCATTTTGAATTAGGGATATTCAACTTGTACAGTCATTTTCTGTCTGTACAATAGAAGCTGGAAGGGGAGAAACCATACTGACTGATGTAGAGAGGTGGGTTGGATTACATTGCAGTCTAGTATGAAAAATATCTGATTTCTCTTTGCATTCTAAACAGTATTATTAACACAACTACATATGAGCAACAAAATACAAATGACCCAGTCCCGTACTGTTGAATACACAACATAGGTTAGTTGGCTTTTCAGTCAGGTTGCTTTATTAGTACAACTCAGTATTGGCTAACTTTGGTCCTCCAAGTGTTTTGGACTTCCACAATTCCTAACTACCAGTAAAAATGACCCATTTTATATCACGTTGGCTTTCTAGGGGTACATTTACCAATTTTCCATCAAAATGCTATTGGGAGTTAAAGAAGGTGCTAAGACAGAGAGAAAACCCTTTTTTAAAAAATACGATCTGGTGCTTCCCACATTCTTGGTGGGAAATATTTTAATGTCAAGAGTATGTGAAAATACAGAGGACTAGTTCACACTGAGAGAGCCAGTATGGGTGTAATGGTCAGAGTGCTGAACTAGAACTCCAGGGCTAAAATCCCTGCTTAGTCATGGAAACTCACTGGGCAACTCTGGGCAAGTCTCACAATAGTAAACCTCCTCTGAACAAATCTTGCCATGATAAGATAGTCTTGAGGCCACCCAATCAGAAATGACTTGGCATACAACAATGACAAAGCTTTCTCTGAGGCCATTGGTCTATCTAGGTTGCCATATTTTAGCCCGACTTTTGAGAATCTCATGCTGGAGGCATTTCTCAGCTCTACACTGTGAACCACCCTGAGTCCCCTTCGGGATTGAGAAGGGCGGTATACAAATACTGAACATAGCACGATCTAAATGTGAAACGTGCTGCACCATAGAAGTCCAATTCCTCTGAATTTTGTGCACAAAATATACTATTTGCCATATCTGAAAGGATATTTAGAAAAGGCCCAGGTTGCTACTGTATACTAAATAAATGGATTATCATGAAAAATAAAAGTCTATGGTTTCTTGTCTGGACTACGTGTGAATTGGGTGTACTCCATAAGTACATCTGACCTCAACAAAATGGGCATGCCTACATTGTCGGTGAACACTCTCTTCGAGATCAGTGGAGCTAGTAAATCAATGTTCTTATCATTAGTCAAATCCCCTCACTAGTAGTACAATAAACACAGTGAGAAGCATTCCTGCTAAGATTCTGCTAAAAAGAGAAGCCAAGCTGGTGCGTGATTAATTGAGCCTATATAAATTGAAACTCAAGACTCATAACTATCGATTGGTTTCCCTTTAGCCCTGCTGGGAACATTACAGCTTTATTACAATTTTATGACTCTAGTCAAGGATATCCTCATCGGTTTTACTTCTCTCATAGGATGAACGATATGAATGTGTAGAAAAAGCTTTCAGACAGGACTGTGTGGTGTGACAGGGATTCTCTAGAACTGAATGTGAGGATAAAAGCCACTATTATCTAACATAACCAAGAAAAATCCCAATTTAAAGGAATCATTTAGTGCCAGGAGAGGAGCTATATGAGAGTGTTTCACCCTTGCCTACTCTTCCATATTCTGTCTCATCCAGACAGGCATGTAGCCGGGGGGGGGGGGGGGGCTCGGGGGGCTTCAGCCCCCCCCCGAAATTTTCATGGTGGTTCGCGAAAAGGCCTTAATGGTGCATTATTTAAACTGTTATGTTTATTCATATCATGATCTGATCACCATACTCAATATATCCCATATGCATGGGGGTATTGGGGTAATGATACAAAAGGTTTGCTAGGCTAGACCCTCTTTCACTCAGACTCAGCCCCCCCCCGAAACTCAGCCCCCCGAAACCCCCCCCTGAAAAAAAATTCAGCCCCCCCCCCCGAAACGAAATCCTGGCTACGGGCCTGCATCCAGAGGTCTTGATCAAATATGAGGAACCAGCAACATGGTTGATGGGAGTCAGAGTCCAGTGTTCTGAGGGTCACAAGAGTCTACACATTTTCTATATCTCTCTATGAAGCTCTTAGAAGGAAAACTATCTTATCGGGGCTAAAGTGAAATGAGAGCTAGTTGAAGTGTGCAAAAGATAAATTTGTGGCAGTCCTCATGGGATTCTCTAATAGATTAGATTCAACAGGAAGCTGCAGCAACAAATATCTTTTATATACCGATATATGGTAAACAAAAGCATGTTGGGCAGTAAATAG